TCAAGATTCGAGACCATCTCGGCAGGTATGCTGCCCTCTCAAATATTTAGTTTATTCTGATAAAACACGGCCCGGTTCCATGCTATATTTAGGCAGTTGAAAGGTCGGAGGCAGAGAGAAAGAGGGAGAGGGAGAGAGAGCGTGCTGGCATTATCTTTTTACGACATTCAACCCTTCCTGTGTTGACGGTTACAAAGTTGTTTACTTGTTCTTGATTCTCATTTTAACTTTTGCCAGCCATGTTCGTATTCAGTGTAAATGACGAGAATACAGGCTCGCTTAAAAGGCCTGCATTTCACTACAGGCATTATATTTACTATGCAATCCGCCAGAGAAGTGATATCAGATCGGTAACGAAATTCTCGTCTCCGAATCTGGTTTTACGACGCGATCACTTTCTCCTGGGCGAAACGGGGCGACGTCGTCCAGTGACACTGGTTTGCTCACATCTGTCCAGAGGTCACACTAGGATCACCTTGATGTAATCGAGGCTTAACAGCTCGAGACCAGACGGGATCAGGACTGGGATGCGCGCGCCGGGGCTTGAAGCATCGCGCGCATTCGATAGGAAATTATAATTTTGAGCGTGAAGTCGCTTGGCCATTTGGACATTGGATAGCTTCAGAGAACACCAAAAACTCGTTAAGTGAATATTCGTTTAAGAAAAAAGGAAAATGTCATCAGGTTTTGTGATATTCCGTCTCTACCACCTTCACTGCTTTTTGAATGCTGTGCCACTGCATAACCCCTGCTCTACTTCATCATCTACTCATTCGCCACAGCTCCATCCTGGGGATGTATGCGCGCCAGGCTTTGTAAACATCACCGCGAGCTGCGCATAGCTTCACCTGTTGGCAATACTCCGCTACAGCTGACAGGATGGCTGGGTGTCACTTCTCGCTCTGAGAGGCGTCCACGTCATGCTCAATACACGTCACTCCCCTCGCTGAGAGCTGCCTGTGTCGCGCTCAATACATGTCACTCCCCAGCTGAGAGCTGCCTGTGTCGTGCTCAAGACGCGTTATTCCCCCCGCTGAGAGCTGCCTGTGTCGTGCTCAAGACATGTCACTCCCCCGCTGAGAGCTGCCTGTGTCGTGCTCAAGACACGTTATTCCCCCCGCTGAGAGCTGCCTGTGTCGTGCTCAAGACATGTCACTCCCCCGGCTGAGAGCTGCCTGTCGTGCTCAAGACATGTCACTCCCCCGCTGAGAGCTGCCTGTGTCGTGCTCAAGACACGTTATTCCCCCCGCTGAGAGCTGCCTGTGTCGTGCTCAAGACATGTCACTCCCCCGGCTGAGAGCTGCCTGTGTCGTGCTCAAGACACGTTATTCCCCCCGCTGAGAGCTGCCTGTGTCGTGCTCAAGACATGTCACTCCCCCGGCTGAGAGCTGCCTGTGTCGTGCTCAAGACACATCACTCCCCCGGCTGGGAGCTGTCTGTGTCGCGCTCAAGACATGTCACTCCCCCAGCTGAGAGCTGCCTGTGTCGTGCTCAAGGCATGTCACTCCCCCGGCTGAGAGCTGCCTGTGTCGTGCTCAAGACATGTCATTCCCCGGCTGAGAGCTGCCTGTGTCGTGCTCAAGACATGTCACTCCCCCCGCTAAGAGCTGCCTGTGTCGCGCCAGGATGCGTGACACGTCGAACATGGCGGAGCGTCGGCGGCTGCTGCAGCAGCAGCGCATCGCCGTCACCTTGTTCCTGGTGCTGGCCTGCTTCCTGCTCTGCCACGTGCCGTACATCGTCTACTCCACCGGCCTGGTGCTCGCCACCGACCGCATTCCGCTCATCATGAACCCCATCGTGAACGGCATCTTCACGTGAGGACTCGTGAGTCGAACTCCGCGCCAGGCTCTGGGAGCGAATTCAATCTGTCCCGGCCTGGCTGGGCTGCGCGCTGGAGTTTGGAAACCTTTCCACTTATCACGAATACCATCATGAATTAAACTCGCCACTCGCTTATTATCAAATCTATCGGTGGTCAGACTCCCCTTCACACATCAGTTCACCTGGAATTACGCGATCGGATGGTAGGAGTTAGGGCTCACACAAAAAGCACTGCTTAGCGTGCGCTCTGATCCCAGACATACATCCATTCAAAATATTCAGATGGAATATTTTAAAAACATCATGAGCCCTACTATGAACTGAACTCTTTGCTGATCCACCGCGAACCTGATCGTGTGTGCTGTGACTCATCATCCATCGAGTCTCATCGTTACCTGGATGTGCGCCGCTTTCTATGATGCCCCTTTGCGGGCATCACTGTTTATTTTGGGATTTTACCGTCGTGACTTTCCCTGCTATTTTGACTCCGTGTGATCTGTAGCTCCTCTGGAAACCCGCTTGTGCAATTTGTCGGTGGGCAGGGCTGATAACAACAGCCGAATGCTCAGACACCCCACCTGATAACCAGGCTTTTTTCGGTTGTCATTCCATTTTGTGGTGTAAGGAGATTGCCTCCAATGCGTAATTCCGAAGCCGATGAACGAATCAGGCTGATCCAAACGGAAATTGATACCTCTGAATCATGCTAACTAAGCACATGTAAGCATGGTGATCCGTATGATGGTTAACGTAAAGATCCGGTGGAATACCACGATTTGCGATCTCCTTTCATTAACACACGCCCGGGCGGCCGGCTTGATACATTCGCTCGGATGGGGGGGAGGGGTTAAAACTGACCCCGCTGAGATCTCGGGAGCTAAGAAGGCTAGATACACCAAATTTACCAGGTGTATTGACTGCACGTGAACTCACTTAGGTCAAAGTTGAGGTTCCTAGGTCGTAACCTTCAGGTTGAGTAAGGTCAAACAACGTAAAATTCCGGGACGGTCTCCGAACCCCCAGAACCTAGATGTCTGTTTCTAAGCAAAAGGTCGCAAGGTCATTTAATGTCAGTGACCTTGTTTGACCTTTTGAAGATCATGGTGACCAAAATCATGCGAGACTGCTCTGAGTTTTGCATTTGAATAAGCGAAAAAGATTGCGCTAGCAGTATGTTCCTAAAAACAAAATGTCAACCTGGGTTATCTCAGTCATTTGACCTATTTTGACCTCTGACAAGTCAATGGAAGATGTGAAATGCGGTTTCTGCTATCAATAAATTCTAAATGAGCCAACAGAAACTATCCAATACAGCAAACCCAAAAACTAGAGTAATAAAACAAGCTGGTTTTAATCTTGGGATGACCTTCATACCTGACCTTAGGTCAACGTAATTTGTGGTCAGTCAATATTTGTGCTGGCTAAGAAAGCATATCAGAGTGTATGGCTGCGTACAAAGACGCCTTTGTTGCATTAAATTGAACGATTCCCTAGAAATTGCCTTCGCTTAAACCAGGGCCTGACTTTGACCTGCCATAGGGCAGCAACCTAGCAAGGAACATCTTTTTTTGTATCAAACGATCCGCCGTTTAATTGTCTACAGTTATGTACAATTTGGCGCGGCTACGCCGCGCCACTTTGAAGCCATTCTGGAAATCTTTGGGGGCAATCTGACCCCCACCCGAGCGCGTGTTAATTTTTAATGCGCAGCTATGCTGAATCTAATGAAGCCTAAATGGTTAATTCAAGATGCCTGCTACATACTAAAAATGTACTTGTGCACGTTTATTGACCAAGTTCAATTTGAGGTCAGGTCATGTCAACACTTTTGGACGGTTCTGTACCTAACCATGATACCAAAGTACCCAAAGCCGGAGGCCGATCATAAAGCGCTCTTATTGTGTGATATCTACGTTGTCCTGTCGCCATATTGTGGCATTAAAGGGGTGCTACTTAAAATTGCCTGCAATGTATTTGATCACCGACAAGCTTGCGACACATCGTGCAATTTGTCGGCAAGCTGTAGTCCAAAATCGTCGTGAATGAACATGATGCATGTCCTGAAGTCGCGAAGCACTTTCAGCGCTCGATTGTGTCAGTCATTTTGTCACGACCTAGGATCTAAGATGAGATGAAGCTTGAACTATTTCGAGCTTGTTGCAAAAATGGTATCTCACCGTAAAAATGGAGTCTGTGAATAAAGCATGCATAAGTGTGAAATAAACTCTGGAGCAGACGTGTTACGCAGAGGTCACCTATTGACGTCATTATGGTACTTAATCGCCTGTACTTTGATCAGATCCTATGAAAAATGCCAGAACTCGTGCCAAAGACGCACGCAACAGGAACCAGTGCCAAGAATTGTGTAGTGTCGGCGAACTTTATAGCGTCGTTATAAAGATGAAGTAAGGTATCAATATAAAACTTGATTATGGAGTATAAGGTTTGGGTATCCGCAATATCTGAGGCGTTCTTCCACCCATGGAAGGCGAAGGAACGTCTCAGAAGAGAACCTTTCCATTTGCTTTGAAGCTAAAGCGCTGAAAACGAAGCATCAGGTGAGGCGTTGTGCTTCCAAACTCCGAAATGATGGTTAATTTTTGGCAAGCACTCAGTTTTTTCCGGTGGCATGAAAGGGCTGGGTATTGTAGGGTGTAGCTCACTGATAGGGTGTTGGAACCTCAATAACATTCCAACAGATCTACATTCAGTTCATGGTGTGTGCCGCGTATTTTGGACCTCAGAAAGCCTCTGCACCTCTCGCTCTGAGGGAACATCTCAAACTGTGTTTAGAAACCATAGTGTTTTTAGCTCTTGAAGGCCGGCTGGAAGAGGTTCCTTTTAAGCTTGGAGCATGTGGAAAATAGGTTCTAAACTATTCAAGACAAAATTTACCAGCTTGGAACTTTTTAGCAGTAACATCATATCATGACAGTATTGAAGGTCAGCGAAAACGATGACAGCAAAGTTGGTAAAAAATGATGGTTACACCAGCGAACGTTTCCAGTTCGCTTTGAAGCCACTAGCTGATCCTCAACTCCTAATCGTAACCTGGAGGGAGTCAAGCTTGACAAGCGGCTGGCGACGGTGTGTGCTGGAGGGAGTCAAGCTTGACAAGGCTGCTAGTGACGGGTGCGTGCTGGAGGGAGTCAAGCTTGGCGAGCGTGCTAACGACGGCGTATTCCGGAGGGAGTCAATCTTGACGAGGCTGCTGGCACGGCGTGTAGTGGAGTGAGTCAAGCTTGACAAGGCTGCTGGCAACAGCCAAGCTTGACGAAACTGCTGGCCACAGTCAAGCTTGACAAGGCTGCTGGCGACCGCGTGTGGTGGAGTGAGTCAAGCTTGACAAGGCTGCTGGCAACAGTCAAGCTTGACAGGCTGCTAGCAACAGTCAAGCTTGACGAAACTGCTGGCCATAGTCAAGCTTGACGAGGCTGCTGGCGACCGCGTGTGGTGGAGTGACTCAAGCTTGACAAGGCTGCTGGCAACAGTCAAGTTTGACGAAACTGCTGGCCACAGTCAAGCTTGACAAGGCTGCTGGCAACAGTCAAGCTTGACGAAACTGCTGGCCACAGTCAAGCTTGACGAGGCTGCTGGCAACAGTCAAGGTTGACGAAACTGCTGGCCACAGTCAAGCTTGACGAGACTGCTGGCGACCGCGTGTGGTGGAGTGACTCAAGCTTGACGAGGCTGCTGGTGACGGCGTGTGCTTGAGGGAGCCAAGGTTGACGAGCGTGCTGACGACAGAGCCGTCCGCGCCTGCTTAACCCGGACGGCGTCTCGTTCACGTCAATACACGCCGCACCGCGCGGGGACCCGGGCTGTCCTGACCTGAGATGGATGTGCTAGCCGCCTTTCACATCGACCTCACACAGGCAATAAAGCGCGACCACTAAATCAGCCAGCTAAATGGTTTTCGTGAGCCTTTGTGCAGAACTGAAATGCCATTACATATGCGAGGCTGTAAATATCTCGTGCCGTATGCAACAGCCGGCCAATAATTTTTTCCCGATCTTATTGTTTGGTAGGCAAGGCTGCCGTCACCTCTGTTCTGACACGTCTTCTCCCCGGAAATTGCGCCCACATGAATAAAAAAAAAAACTCCACACGGCTCCTCGCCACCATTCACAAAGGAAGATATTTCGGGAACTATGCCCGCCCACGGGAACTGCCCACCAAATTATTATTATATTACTGTCTAGAGCCTCCGGCGATTCAGTTCTAGTCAACATTCAACATTGGACTTATGGCGTGTTGTAATGGATAACAGTGACTGGTTGCGATAAGGCAGGGAACCATTTCCCGGAACGCGCTTCACCCTGTTTAACGGTTTGGTATGATACAAGACGACTATGTTGACATGCGTGACATATTTGTATATGATTGCCTGGGTTTTTATGACAGGCCGTTTTCATGTTTTGATTTGATAAAACAGAATTGTGTTGACAACAACCAAACGTGTTTTGGGGGATAATTTTGTAATACATGATCCTATTGTCTTTATATCAGCTACTAACATAACACGAAACGTACAGCTTGCTAAGCCAGCGTATGATGCAAAATGGAACTATAGCACTATACAAGGTGAACTCGGGCAGCGCCAATTGGATGGGGCCTCGGGCATCGCTGATGGCATGCGGCCTCCACCAACACTGACTGCTTGTGCATATGGATTCAGCAGTCTGGAACACTGCGAGAATAGCTGTCGGCGCCGGCTCGCGTCTTTGCTGTCTGAGTGCTCAAAATTGAGCTCGACGCATTAGAGAGGACACAGCACAGACCAAGGAGAGATGGCTGCGAAGATCCTGACCTCATCTTCCGAGTAGCTATGAATTTCGGCTCTAAGATCTTGTTGGGCTTTTTTTTGTTTACGCGAGGAAGAAGGACCTTCAGTTCCTGTTTGTTAGGTATTACATGGTTTTGTGTTTTAAGTGAGCATTAAGCACATATTTATGCATGTAATCATGACATCGTAATGCATGCAATCGCGACATGTCATGCAAAATCATGGCAAAATCCTTCCATCATTTTACCCGTCTCCTTACGCCCTGGGCCAGTTGACCGTCTTTGCTCAGTGTATAGTATGCACTGCTCCCGGAATATAAACCGTCGCAAAGTATGCCGTCCTAACAGTCACATGTCCGGTTCTCTACTACGCGGGGCCTCAGGCACGCACATGCGTTTGGGGACGGCATGTCACCGTGGTCTTAGATACAGCACTGTGCAGCATGTTTAAATCTGGCGCAGCCCCCTGTCCGTTCGATGACCGCGTTCTCACACCTGCCACGGCTGGCCTCGTAGAACCAACAGTAAGTGTGGATCAGCAGGCGTGCGCCTAGCACAGCATGGGGCGCTGAAGCGTTGTGCTGTGACCCTGAGCAGCAGAAACTATGGAAAGGTTTTGCTAGCGATGCGGGGGACTAAAATGCGAAAGCTGAACTTATCCACATGCGCCTGGGTATTCTCCCCAGCTGGTGTCGCAGCCACGCCAACGCTGCAGCTCTTGAGCGTGGTACCGCATTATATGTTTGCTTTGTGTCCCCCACATTTGACGTAGGAACGACAGTGGCTGCAAGTGTGCTCGCACCTCAAGCTCCAGACTTTCACGGAGACTTTCTTCCTTCCCAATCTAACCGTGTGCTTGAGATCTTTCTACAGCCAGTGCCTGTGATTACCTGCTCCAAATATGTTTTATTTGCCGTTATTCACACGTTTACCGTTCGAAAATTTAGGCATATAATGTGGATGAATTACGGAAACCTACAACATAACGCGTGGAATTTAAAGCCGCAGCTCGTTATTGGCTCAGTACCCCACCCATGTCCACACCTATACCAACAGCTTCCCAAAGGCCACGATTTGCACCCAATCTGCACACTGTTTGCATAATGTTCGTGCAGCATTCCATCACATTCGTTAGGCCTAAAAAACGTACCTTTCTTAAACTGTCAAGTTCTGCATAATATAAGTCAGAGCCGGACCCAGAGCTCCACCAGCGGGGATCGCAGCAGCACCGGACTGACACGATGGAACTGAAAACGGAAGGGGACACGTGATGCGGCATTGCGTGCAGCAGGACCGGCGCATGGCCGCACATTTACTAGGCTCGGGGACATGTTTGTTGAAAACCAACGGCAGTGCAGGCTGATGTATCATGTTCAAACCACGCGACCACCTCAGCGCCGTATGGCTGACGGGGAAGCCAGTTATCAATTGGTACGCGGCCAATGACGTCTTAGAAAATGACCTCCGTGCGAGCGAGCTCCTTAAGCCCAAAACATGGGGATTAAGCTAGAAATATTTAAGCGTGCGTCAATACCTGCATTTTTGTCAATCATGTGTAAATGATATCCGGTGTCAAACAAAATACTGACACATTTTGTGAAGAACGCGATCGCCCTCAAGTCCAGTGTGAACCAATTGCAAGCTTATCCATTTCATCAGCCGCAGCGGCCATGTTGATGTTATTCGCGAATCGATGCGTGAGCGCTAATCAGTGGAATGCCAAGAATGCTCGCCGTTCAGGAAAGCCGAGCTCGACCAAGAATAACAACTAATTAGGGTGGATTCCAAAGGCATCTAACTTGCCATTAACTTGCCTTACTGGCATATAACTTGCCAGTAAGTTCTGAGCTGTTTATTTCACGGGCACGACAATGGCATCGGCAGCCGTAATACAGGATAAGCGAGCCCTCTCGCCAACAGTAGTTCGTATGATCTCGCGCTGGTAACAAGACATCACCAGTTCATTGCGACCCGACACTATTAGTACATCGTGGTAATCGTGTCGAGAGGTACGGGGCCATCACGCGCATGACATGCGTTTCTTTTCGTTTCCATCGTTTATCACCAGCCTCACAAAACTGTCAGCATTCGTAAACGTTGCACTTTACCTCTGGGCTTGAGTCATGGAATCGTGGTTACATTTTCCCTCTCCCGGGCTGCTCGCTCATCATGCCTGCGAGAGTTAAGGACCCTACCGCACCAAACAGCAAAACTGAAACAAACATGGCAGGAAGGTGCGCGCCAGCCTGGGAGTGCCATCACCAGACATGTCCGTGCACTTATCACGTGGGTCTGGAGCTGACCAGCCTGGGAGTGTCATCACCAGACATGTCCGTGCACTTATCACGTGGGTCTGGAGCTGGCCAGCCTGGGAGTGCCATCACCAGACATGTCCGTGCACTTATCACGTGGGTCTGGAGCTGACCAGCCTGGGAGTGTCATCACCAGACATGTCCGTGCACTTATCACGTGGGTCTGAAGCTGACCAGCCTGGGCGTGCCATCACCAGACATGTCCCGTGCACTTATCACGTGGGTCTGGAGCTGAGCAGCCTGGGAGTGTCATCACCAGACATGTCCGTGCACTTATCACGCGGGTCTGGAGCTGAGCAGCCTGGGAGTGTCATCACCAGACATGTCCGTGCACTTATCACGTGGGTCTGGAGCTGACCAGCCTGGGAGTGTCATCACCAGACATGTCCGTGCGCTTATCATGTGGCTCTGAAGCTGTGAGCAGCCGGCAGCTGCTTGCTGTCGGCGTGTGTTATCTGCTCCGCCGCCGACAGCCGATAACGACGGACACTGCGTCGCCGCGCTGCTCGGGGCCCGCCCCTGTCGGAGGTCACGGCACGTCCCGCGTCACGCCGGCGTCACGTCCGCTGTTACGTCGGACGTAGCGTGGTACGCTCCACCAGGAAATGAGTCACACGTCACGTGGAGCCGAGAGTACCGGGGAATAGCGTGACGTTTGGCGGCGCGCTTTGGCTGGTGTGCCGATATTGCGAAAGGCTCGGTTATGGAAACGACGAAAAACCTCCAAACCATGTGGGATCCTTTCCACAGGGATGGTGGCGCATAGCTGAACGAGAGATCCGTCGGTCCCCGACCTTCATGGCTTGCGCAGTCGAAAGGACTTGAGATACGACGTCCCATTTTACCTGATCGGACGGGAAATGTATTGCTGGTTTCTACTTGGCGTGTGTTCATTCTCGATATACGACACCGAAACAACATCCGTCTGAAAAAGCACTAAGGCTACCAGGGCTGTCGTGTACACAAACTGTTACGAACACTGTGCGTGCCGTATAATTAGCTGTCATATACAGTCTGTACGCTAAATGAGTCGAACTGACACATGCGCATGAGGCCGGACTTGCACTACAGTCATACGGATATCACCACACGAATTTGCTTTGCTTGGTGCCCTTTTGTTTCAATTTCCTGATGCGTGTCTGAACTCAGTCAATCCCGTGCTTGTAACGGACTGTACACTACAGTGCTGGAACACCGTACTGCAGTGTACACTACAGTGTTTTGTAGTCTACACTACAGCGTTTCGGCGATGCTACTGCTTGTACCTGAATTCCACATGGCATTTCAGTTGACTTGGTGACTGTTCCACGTGCGTGAACTCTTACTCAACCCTGTTTTTTAGTGGTAAGGGCTCTTGTACCCGAACAGCGTACCGATGCGGTGCGCGTACCTGAGCTCGGTTCGGTGTACCGCTGTAGTGCCTGTACCCGAGCTCGGCCCAGTGTATCGGTGTGGTACCTGTACCTGAGCTCTGCCCAGGTTGTTAAGCACCTGTACATGAACCGTTCCTGTATTTCTATCGTTCTGCTTGTACCCGAACTCAGCCCGTTATTTGCAATCGCACTGGTGTCTGTACCTGAATTCAGCCCGTTGTTTACAATCGTACTGGTGTCTGCACCTGAACTCAGCCCGTTGTTTGCAGTCTTACTGGTATCTGTACCTGAACTCAGCGCGTTGTTTACAGTCGTACTGGTGTCTGTACCTGAATTCAGCCCGTTGTTTACAATCGTACTGGTGTCTGTACCTGAACTCAGCCCGTTGTTTACAGTCGTACTGGTGTCTGTACCTGAACTCAGCCCGTTGTTTACAGTCGTACTGGTGTCTGTACATGAACTCAGCCCGTTGTTTACAGTCGTACTGGTGTCTGTACATGAACTCAGCTCTGAACCCCATCACATACGGCGCGCGGAGTTCCTCGTTCCGGGAGAGCTACAAGAACATACTGCTCGGCCGGAGCCGTTCCCAGTTCGCCAACACAGGTACTCTCGCGCTGGAACGACGCCGCCGCCCGTGCTATTGGCTATCTGCAATAAACTCTATCGTAATGAGCTTTCAGATAACTTTTTGGATTTTGAAGTAATGCCGGACGTATTTGAAAACTTGGAATGCTGACACAGAGGGGTATGTTGGTACGAAGTTGGTGGGTTACCATTCAGGCGGAGTTTCGTGGCAAGTGGGTCTCCCCTACATCGATGGTCGTAGTTATTACACATGCTGCAGGGCTGGGCCCATCCTTTGTGCTCCATGGTCAGACTGCCTGGGTGCGCTGTGAGCTCAAGTAAAGGTGGTCCTGCCTGTCTTTACTGGATCTCCCTCACCCCCTCCCACTAGTTTTATGCCGCGATAGACCAGACAGCTTATGCGCGCATCATCCCGGATGTACAGCATTTCGACTATTTTTGAATACTTACAACGGAATCTGACCCACAAATGACCCCCTCAGTTGGGGATGACGTGACGGCCGTCGAAACATGCCGTCACGCGTTGCCGTTTCGAGAAAATGCCAATGATCGGCCCGACGCCGGCCGGCCGTGGTCGGCTGTCGAAGCAGAGTGGCGGGCACGTGGCCCGCGTGCATGTCTCTTTTTGGAAGGTCATACCTTTGGCCGAGGATGTCTCCTCCCCGTGGGAGTTCGTGGGCGTAGGCTGGACGTCAGGAGGTCCGGCCATAACGTGCATTTCAAATTACTCAGGCACCATCCGGCAATTGGATGGAGCAGAAGGTGACGGCTGACCTTTGGCGTGTAAGGAGGCTCCTCCTCTGAGGAGAGCGTTCCCTCGCAGCCGTACCCACAGGATGCGTACTATACAAAACTAAATGACGAGTGGGGAAGACGATACTTTTTTCGCGTCAAGAACCAAGACATAATCTTTGTGTTTAATAGCTTTAGGTGTGGCATGAATCGTAAGAACACTAACGGCTGCTGAGCTTTTGGTAGTGACATCACCGAGCGCGGTCCTACGTGTCGCCCGCACCCATAGCGTGCTAAACACGCGTGACCTAGGCCCCGTTCTCTGGCGATTGGGTGAGGTGGGTACTTGTTGACACAGCCCTGGCCTCGCCACGCACGCTCTGTAGGATGCGAATAAGCCCTGGTGAGATGGGCCCGTGCTGACCCCGCCCTGAGCTCAAAGCGCCACGTTCTATGGGACACTGTGCTGATGGGGGGATAAGCTGGGCCCGCGCTAGCACCGTCTTGACCCCACCAGGCACGTTCTATGGGACACTGTGCTGATGGGGGGATGAGCTGGGCCCGCGCTAGCACCGTCTTGACTTAACCAGGCACGTTCTATGGGACACTGCGCTGATGGGGGGATGAGCTGGGCCCGCGCTAGCACCGTCTTGACTTAACCAGGCACGTTCTATGGGACACTGTGCTGATGGGGGGATGAGCTGGGCCCGCGCTAGCACCGTCTTGACTTCACCAGGCACGTTCTATGGGACACTGTGCTGATGGGGGGATGAGCTGGGCCCGCGCTAGCACCGTCTTGACTTCACCAGGCACGTTCTATGGGACACTGTGCTGATGGGGGGATGAGCTGGGCCCGCGCTAGCACCGTCTTGACTTCACCAGGCACGTTCTATGGGACACTGTGCTGATGGGGGGATGAGCTGGGCCCGCGCTAGCACCGTCTTGACTTCACCAGGCACGCTCTACCAGGTGCGGGCACTATCTCAAGCCAGTTTCATAACATGAATCTACGACTTACCCGCCATTGAAAGCGCACCCATCCGAGCACAGTTCACCGACTCTTCCCATTCGATTATGCCCCTCAGATATAACCTTTCACTTAATTTCAACCTTAAGCCACGTGCTAAAATTAAGCCCATGTGGTTACACGGCGATGCCTAAAAACTTAGCTTGTAGCTTCGCTTTACGAAACTGGCTATCGGTGCACTGACGGGCTTGGTACGTGCTTACACTCATCGGAGCTTATAACACGCGTGCACGAGCTGGACGCGGATCTACCACTTAGTCTGGTCCTGGTGTCAAATGTCACTGACACCAGCCAGCTGGTGTAGGTGATCGCTGGCACAACGCCACCTCCACTCACCGTCTGGTGGTTCGGCTGCGGTCGGGTCGGATCAGCGTCCAATCCGCATCACTTCCTCCCGGCACGCCGCCGCCAGGTGACACCACGGCCGCGTGGGCATGCTCTCTCTCTCTCGCCCTCCCTCTCTCTCTCTCTCTCTCGCTCTCTCTCACTCTCCCTCCCTCTCTCTCCCCCTCTCTCTCTCGCTCTCCCTCTCTCTCTCTCCCTCTCTCTCCCTCTCTCTCTCTCTCTCGCTCTCCCTCTCTCCTCTCTCCCCTCTCTCTCTCTCTCTCGCCTCTCCCTCTCTCTCTCTCTCTCTCTCTCTCTCTCGCTCCTCTCTCCTCTCCTCTCTCTCTCTCTCCTCTCTCTCTCTCTCTCTCTCTCTCTCTCTCTCCTCTCTCTCTCTCTCTCTCTCTCTCTCTCTCTCTCCCCGTCAGCGTTTTCCGCTTTGCTTCTCTCGCTAATTTCAGTATCTCTCCATGGACTCATTGACTCTCGCTTCTTCTGGATAATTTCCTCGCCCTTTTCGGCACGCTATGGCTTTCACTTTATACTTTGTTTCACTTACTTACTGAATGCCGCGGCTTCACAGCTTTCAGTCCCTAAAATGGGCGTTAGCGGTTCGATAGTGTGGTGACGGTACTGCTCGATGTACCGCAGTGTATAACGGTGGGCTATCCTGGTCACCTATGCATAAGCAACGGGCATATTAATCCATAAATTACAAATTGTGTTTCAACTTAACCGTTTTCGGTCCCTTTTTCTTAAAAGCTTACATCACAAACAAAAGCCGTTATTTTCACGTCGGTTACTCCCCTCTCTTCGACCGTACCAGCGCCAGCAGCGTAATGAGCATTGTCCCAAAGCGCAAATGGTGGTTATTGGTACCGTTCTAGTAACAGCTACACTTGGTCTACAGTAACACGAAAGCGACACTTGGGTGCCGCTTTTGAGCAGAGATGGTCCATTTGCGGAGAGGAATGTTCACCAGAAGTTTAGCGAAAAGACAGACGTGGTCGTGAAACAGCTCATGTGATGTACGTGACTGCTGAAGCTGACCAGACGTGACAGGAGATCAAGTGACTGACTCTGAATGGCAGAAAGTCCCCCTAGTAGGGACACCACGCTGGGGTACAAGTCGCCGTGCTTGCCTTCACAGGGGGCGTCACGATTCAACGACTCGACCTGATTTGAGAACAAATCGCTCCGGCTGTATCAAATGGGTCAGCTTTCAGATATGGCCCATTTGGTAGGCCTACTCTTTGAAGTTCAAAAGTTGCCAGAACTTGAAAGGGGGCTTCCAACCCTCCAAACGGCCACGAAATACTGAGTCTCGCCCGTGCGGCCACCGCCTTCTTCACCCGTTTTGCTGAGAGCCGAGAATGAGAGTGCGACAGTCAGTCGAATCTGTCTTGATTGTCGTGCCCGTTTGCTGGATGACCTCATTCTCCTGACAAAGTACACTTCCGCCACGAATATGGAAAAAATAATGTTACTCACGACATCCATCGTCACTCCAACAAGTAACAACGGAAGTGCAAGTCCTGTAATGTAGCGGTCACAGCTCATCTAGCATTCAACGGGCTCTATTTCGCCTGCAGCAGAACATTGCCCTTTACTGCTCGGTAGTTCGCTTTGTTTTCTTGTTTAGGCTCAGTGGGCCGTTTGCATCCACACATTGTCCGGTGAAGACGGGTGAGGCATTTGCATGCGCGCCGTGCGGTGGCATGTCAGCCCCTCAATGCAGTCGCAAATGTATTGCCCAGGCACGGTCCCAGGTATTAAAGATGGTTGCGGGAGGTTCTTCGAAGGGTAGTACGAAGGACAATGCCACGAATAGACAGCTTGGAGAACGTTGCGTCGTATCAAATGGTTTAATCGATCAATCATATACCGTGCATCCAAATTCCTTGCTCACGCTGTTTTCTACCCTATGTTTGTATCTATGCATGCATATGTATATGTATTTATCTTCATATTTCAGGCTGTCTATCTGCTCATCTATCCATCCATCTGACACTTAACGTGTATGTTTTTGCCTGAACGCACGTTGTAATGTATGTATGTATGTGTTTCCATCCTCTCTAAACGTGTCTCTCGACTGTTTCTGCATTTCTATCTTTCTCTCACCGCTTTCTCCCTCGATGTTGCCCTTCTTTCACTTTCTGACTGACGAGTGGACTGACGGCAAGGAGGTGGTTTTCACAGAGACGTTCACTGCACCCCTGACCTCGGTTAGACTGCCCCTCGGCCGGGTTCCGACATCTCCGGCTGAGTGACACTCAGGACGACACGGGGTGTGCAGACATGACAGGGCTCTGCCGCCACACAGACGCGGAGCGGCGTGAGTATGACTGACACCACATGGCTTCCGATACCAGAATCCGTTCCGCGACCGTTTCCAAATGCTCCACGACTCGTCAGACGAAACGAGGACGACGCAAAGACTGGAGTCCACTGCGACCACCGTGCAATGGCTCCCAATGACAAAACGCATTGACGTCTGTACGTTAGGTGTAGTACCTTGTAGTGCTATCGGTGGCAAGTTATCAACTGCAGACCATCAGTGCTACAAACGCAGATGCCTGCCCCTCGGCTGAACCCGGACAGGAAGCGCGTCGGTCCTGTTGCCGTACGCGATCTGACACGACCTCTGGCTGTCCCCAGGGAGCATCAGGAGCTGCGGCGGCAGCACCAGGCTGACGCAGAAAACTGGCACTAGCGCTTCGCTCAAGAAGCTTCGTAAGTGAAGATCTGCACTAGCTGCGGGACGGGGCCGTGCGAGAGTTTTAGCAGTTTCAAGTGCGATGGTCTCTTGCATCCATCACTAGATATAATTGATTGGTCGCATTCGCTTTCGCAAGGTCTAACATCATGAGTCCAAGGGGAAAAGCTGTTTTCAATGGCCGTATTTTATGCGTGTATTTTCCCAAGTTCACTGCTACTCGGCCCCTTCCCTCATACAGGCTCCACGGATGAAAAGGTTACGGGGTTATTTGGGTTTTATGGGGTGTCTCAGAAGTCTTTTTTCGTGCACACCAACATCAAGCACTGCACTAAAGCATAAATTTTAGGTGCCATGCTCAAGTCGGCAAAAGGTAGGGAAACTTCCCACCTCAGCTACCTTCTGTAGCGGAGTTCATTCATACGCGAAACAAGTAAGTCGCGCTTAACAGCCCACATTGCTGTTAGAAAAAATAAAAAATGTACGTGTTCAGTGGCATTCGATCCCAATCTTCTAACATGACGGTCGTTGGTTGCTCTATGACGGTGATTAATGCAGTTAAAAACGTACATTAGTTATAGGACTCTTTTTTTAAAGATCTGGGGATAGTTCTTCAATTTTGTGATCATGCATCGACTAATGATAACTGTTAGGAACCCGGGCAAGTGATCTTCTATGAAAGCTACTTCCATAACTTCAGTATTTTTGTCCCAGAAATATGTAATACGGATTTCTTGTAAAATTACGATATACTTACGTTATACTTGTTGATACTTATAATACTGCTTCTCCAGTGCATTTCGAGCTAAAAGATGTGATTTGACACTTGATATCTGTGAGTGGACCCCTTGCGTTTGAAGTGCGCGAACTCGGTGTGGATACGGAAGCGGCTGACATGTTGAAGTCTCATTACACTGAAATCATTACTACATCGTAAGACATAAATGGTCACGCGGACATCGAACTTTCAAAAACTACAATTCGGGCCAAAGATAAATTTACGTCAAAGCCAAAAGTGATGCATTCTAGCTCTTCCAAAATGACTTATTCACATCTTTCGTTGAGGCTGGCTGAATATAGCTAATACAGTGAAGTGAGGCCGAACAGCCTTGGTTTATACCTAAAAATGTCTCTGGCTTTTTGGAGGGTTCTGACAACTAAACATTAATATTTCACTTTTGTGCACTCTCGGAGTGATTAATGATTTTGCTAGCTACGGCCAGCTGAGCTTCCTGCAGCAGTTCTTAATTATGAATGAGGTCGAGCGCTTTCTGATGCACACGTTTGTGTGTCCGCGTCAAGCGTGGCCAGAACCCGCTGTTTTTGTCGCTTTTGTGCCGACGGACGTGTGGTGGGTGATGAGGTGGTGACCCTAACACTCTGCCCGACTAACAGGCGGCTCCTCTCTGTCTGACCCCTCTGCCGCGGCCATGCCAGACGCCAGGGATAGGCTGGCTCTGGCTGATGACACGCAGATGTGAGGTTAGTCAGGCCCCTCCTTCTATACGTCCTGCGGATCCCTGCCCAGGACCTGCACCCTCGGGCCCCATTCAAGAGGAACTCCTGTGGCAGTTGGTGGCACGTAGCGTGCTCTGTTGCGCATGGTGATTCATTATTATTTCCCCTTATCCTTTCTTGCTGGTGGTCGTGGTGACGGAACTCTTGACCTCCGGCCAACTCTTTGGTAGCATTGCAGCCGGTTCCCCACCTGCATCAGCCCTGCACTTTGGATTGACTCTGCCATATAGAATGAGGGGCCGCCCGCCTTATCTTGACCGACCGAATGGGACATCGTTTTTTTCAATCGGAAGCCGTGGCCTTTCAACAGTCTGTCGCTCGCCATTTCGACCGAGAGAGGACGATGTACATATTTCGAGGCCGGTGCCATGTCATTGTTTGCGTTTTCAGCTACCGTGCGGAGAGCTGTATATTGCGATACAGTCCTGTGGGGTCGGACATGGCTGGACCCTGAGCCTGAGCGCTTGTTTTCTTTGTGATTTAACGCCGGCTCAAACAACGCGTCGTTTTCACAGTGATCCACTGACCTTACACGATTATGTGACGTCATCATGATGGCTAACGGCAGATAATATGGCGCATAAGGCAGATAACATGGCGCATGAGGCACGCGTCATGCTATCCATGCAATTCATTCGTGACCAATATAGCTTTGCTCACGGCACCTAGCCATCTCACGTGTTGTGATCTTTGGCATGGCGTGATTTTTTACGACCCGGCTGCCTTGAGGTCGACTGTTGTAGGACAGACCGGGCCAAGGACGCCCTTCTTAACTTTCAGCGTACAGCCGCCTTTACATGAATTACATCACTTTGCGCGTCGAGTCAAATCAGGCGTAGAAATGCTGCTGTTTCAGGCAAAATGACAGAAAGGCGAATGGTGTAAGGATGAACAAGCGAAGGTAAAAGGTTGTTCCGCCCCATAGCCGGGCCGAAGCGCTGCAGGAACAGAACAAAATGTTTCCGCTGGCATTTTTTGCGCAATTTCGCAATTTCCTGTTTACCGTAAAACAACATGGAGTTTTCTCGAAATGTTAGTGCTTGGCCTTACATTTCTTCAGTCGGGATCGCATGAACCCGAAGTTCACCATCTGCGTACGCCTCCGCACCGCACGTAGGTGGGGTTTTATCAGCCACTTCCAGCGCATAATCAGATGTTTTTTTATGGACAGCGATAGGAACACTACATTTCTTGAGAGTACATTTCACCCCCATTCGCTGTAAGAAAATTACCGCACGCATCTTGGGGACCTGCATGAAATTCAATTTCATGATGGTTTTGATCAGCCAAAGTTAGCTTGCTTATATTATGGTGCGTTTTTCCTCTGATCCCAATGAACTGGCGATGCATATAAGTGCCTCCAAGTGATCTTCTGGGATTTTATGTCACATTATTACAAAGAAGTGAATCAAAATGCTGGTTTTTGCCTAAAGACCGACGCACACATTTCAAGTGCAACTAGACAGATGCATGATACACAGGGTCTTAATCCTACGCGATAATTACTAGTACAAACATCAATAACCCTGAGGTGTCGATGGGGGATTGCTTTAGGCTGGCGTCCTACTTCAGTCCATCTTATACCCTTGATGAATGATCATGTGGCAGAGTCTTAAGGAGCTTAGCTCAAAGGTACCTCTCATTCATGATGTGAATACCTTTAACGTGAAAGTTACATCTGGTAACAAGGCTAGTTCCAGTACTTCCATACCACGGCTGCTACCCCAAGATGCGAGCGGGGCTGCACCGACATGGACGGCACAGACCGCATGTGTTGCCCTTGATTTCAAATAATGCAAAATCACAGGGAAGATTTCCGACGAGAGGATATGTATATATATATATATATATATATATATATATATATATATATATATTCGTGTACTTAGTCAGTATGCCTTTATGCATGCAAGTTTTATTATACGCAATGGTAGATGCACATTTAATCAGTTTCCTGTGCGCTTATTCGATTGCTCGACTTAAATCCTTCGTTGTTTTCGGGAAGTCACAAATCAACTCGCCTATAGTCAGATACATATTGGTTTAAGCTACCTAACGTTTCAAGGTCATTCATTCCCATTCTCAAAGCAGCGTAAGACGGTCGGACGGAAAACATTCGAAAAGAGGTCACAGAAGCCCGGCCACAGGCCTCTCAGTCAAGGCGCCGTGCCGGGCGCGCCGGACCCACCCGCACCACGCCACGGCGCGGTACCTGTCCCCGCAGCGGCCGGAGTCTGGTGCGCGCGGGTCGGCCCACTTTGTTGGCTCTCTTGGTACACAGGCGTCGGTCCCAGCAACGGCCGTCCCATCGGCCCCGCTCGGCGCGGGTCGATAGTGAAATGGCCAGAGCCAATACTGGAATGGCTCGAGCTAATCGCGACTCGTAGGGTCAACACGTCCGGTGTGGCGGCGCGGTCAGTCCGGCTATCGCCAAACCAAAGCAGCGCAGGCGTCATCCAGTGCCGCTCAGCTCGCTTCTCGTGGTCAGAGAAATCACAGTTGCCTCCTGTACCGGAAAGATCACCTTACTTTTATTAACTCTTTTCTAACTTTTTTGTAGTGAGATGCACTACTCATCTTTCGTATGTGAAGCAACCACAACTGCGTCCTGATTTTGGAGCAGTTCTAATTATCCCATACATCTGGAAAACTTGCAGTGACTTGCTGCACGCGGAACTACTTCAGTGATCTTCCAAAGGCAAAGGACCCCGATGTCCCGATTAGCCGGAAGCTGACAGAAGCGACGCTTTTTGCCATCACTGATTCACCAGCTGGGACTGATCTAATCCGTAAACACCTCGTCATTAGAGAGATGGCAAGACACATCCCAGAAAAACCGCGCTCCACTGCCCACGCCGTACGCTATAATAACCATCTGCAGTACATCTGCGTCCTTAAGTTCTTGAAGGGTGCATATTTAGCAAGCAAATTCCATATGAAACGTGTGACAAAAATGCTGAACCCTTTATATCCCACGAAGAACATCTCTTCTAGGAAGTATGGTAGTGGCTCTGGAATCTGTATGCACTTACAAATGACATCATGTTATTTTGTGGTATGTCACGGCTTCTGCCACCCTCCAGTAGGTGTTGACGCTGACGCCCGCCTGCGACGTAGCGGACGTGCTGGCGGGGATCATGCCTCAGCGTGGTCACGAGGTGCCCAACTGACGAAAGTACTCCCCCCCCCCCCCCCCCACCCACCCCTGTGCCCCACTGACTCTCTTCGTATTGCTCTGGAGGGGTCCTAAAACTGTCGCCTTAGACAGACTCGATCGGTGAGGCATAAGCTGCTGTGATTTCGCCGTGCTATCGCTGTCGCGCCGATACCTCCGGCCGCCGCGTCTGCCAGGGCGCTCCACCAGGCGGAGCCTTCCGCAAATGGGGCGTGTCTGGACTCCGGGAGGCCCGTTCGTCACCGCGGGGCAGCGATCAGTGGCCGTCGCAGTAGTGCGGAGCCCCCCCCCCCCCCCCCCCCCCCCGACACCATTTCGGGTTGG